AAAACAGATTCTGGTGCTGACGGCATGTGTGGCCGAGGGCTTCCATTACAGTGACCTGGATGGTACCCCGCAGCTACCACCACTGGGCTTCGACACTAGCATGAGCCTCCAGGGTTTGCATTCCTTCCGGAACAGAGTTTCAGCAGCCGCTAAATATAAATCCGCATTCGGTCGCATCAGGTAATGTGGTATTTAACTTGCCTGATGTTAATATACAATAGGTGGGCTAACTCATGAAACGTCAACCGAAATTCCGAAACGAGTTTCCGTTTCGAAAAGATTACTTAAGTATGGCTGTAAAACCAATCACCATGCAGCATAATTCTATAATAATTCAGTTATCTCAGGATGACGGCTTTCAAACAAGCTTCTTTTCGGCGGCATGCAGGAACTGCACTTTATAAAAAATTACTAACTAAGTAGCATACATTTTTCTCATTGATCTTCGATGCCTTTGAAAATTCAATTATATTTCATGGAAAAAATGTGTAAAAATATTCATTCTTCTACTCATTCAGTAGGGAATTACGTCTTCTTTCAATTCTATACTTGAATAAGGGGTTTGATTCGGTTCTATAAACTTTTCCAATTCCAGAATAATTTTGAACTCTACCTGCCGGTAGCGAACCCAGATCAACCAAATTCTGAATGTAGCACGGAACAGGAGGAATGTAAGTATTAGCAAATACCGTCATACGCCACTAAGGATACTTGATGAAAATTGTAGGTGGGTGTTTAAAAGGTAGATTTACGGCAGTATAAACTGTGTAGGAGTAACTGGCAAGGTATATATGTACAGTAGGTGGGCTAACTCATGAAATGTCCACCGAAATTCCGAAGTTTGTTTTCGTTTCGAAAAGATTAATTAAGCAGGGTTGTAAAACTAGTCAGCCTGCAACATAATTCCATAATATTTTAATCATCCCAGGATGCCGTCTTTCGAATGAACTTCCTTCCGACAGTATGCAAAGACTACTTAAGTAGCATGGATTTTTCTCATTCGTTTTCAATGCCCCTAAAAGCCCAATTATATTTCATGGAAAACATGCATAAAAATATTCACTCTTTCCTTCATTCGGTAGAAAATTACGTTTTCTAATTTTATAATCGAAGGAGGGACATGATTCGTTTTTAAAAAAAGTTTCTAATTGTGGGGCTTTTAAATACCGTGAAATGGCCGTTCATAAAACGTCATGTATCTGCATTTATCAATGTGGCTTTTAAAGTTAACAATATGGATCAAATCCACTGCTAAATTTTATGAGCCCTATATGGTCCCTCTTTAGTACCGTAGGGAAATGTGTGGTTTTTCGTACGCGGAAAATATACGGCTTGTAGTTTGGAAACTCTGAGTCAAAGTGTAACGGTAGAGCGGGTTCAAAATTATTCGGGGATTAAAAAAGTTTTTGAAAACAGAATTATACCCTTCCTTCGCCTAGACGTGGGTGAACAATCGGGCGTCGTCTATCAGATCCCATGTCGGGACTGCCCTCGCCACTACACTGGACAAACCGGACGACGACTTAGCTCACGAATAACGGAGCACAAACGGGCGGTCCGGAGAGGCGACCCGTTGTCTCAGGTCGCCACTCACACCCTGGAGGAAGGCCACGAATTCAACTTTGCGAGCACGCGGATAGTGGCGCGGGCCAGCAATAAGACAGGACGAGAACTGTTAGAGGCCTGGGTGTCTGACAACAACGCTATCAACAGGCACGTTGATATACCCCCCTGTTATCACGCGCTCCGTTCCCGCGGCCAAGGGGCGAGACCCAATTTCCAGCCAAGGGTGCACGCAGTCACGCCACCGTGAGACGGCGTGGGACGCAACTTATCGCGAATACCACCCTCTACACTCATATCTCCCCCCCCCCCTTCATGGCGTGACTACAAAAACCACTCATTTGATGTTGCCATCTCACAGTCTCTGACGATGGCCTCCTGTACGAGACCGACAGCTCAGACTAATAAACACACTGTCCCAGAGATCGGGTCTTCATCTTCTTTACAGTATATTTTGTTCCGCACCAGGACAAGAAATGGAAAAGGAAATTGCTGATACAACTGCTGTTCCCTTGGGGACCGAAAAGTCCCTCCTCGGCAAGACGGTCCGTACTGACGCGGTCATTGAGGTCAGTAATGATACCCAGTTTGTTTGGCTTCGTTACAGTTGATATGAGGGCGTACGGGTCTTCGTGCAACCTTTTCTCCAAGTCTTCGCGTTTGGGAATTGCATAGGCGCTGAGGATAGTGGCTAATTTGTTCCCGCAGAGTTGCAGCCTCATGGTCGTGAGGCGGTCATTAACGCTCTGCGGCAAGCAGGACAGTCGTCTCACTATGTTGCTCCTGATGACGAAGGCGACTCAGCACTCTTGGCGCTACGTCTTGGACGTCCGATCCAGAAGGTGTATCGGACTGCCACCTCTTTCAGTTGTCCATGTTTAGATAAGCAGGTATAAATGAGAACCGCAATATCCTTTATGCAGAGGGTCAAGTAGGGGACGAACAGAACTGTCATCCTTTCTGGACGGTTTGCCATCGAGCTGTCTGAAAGAAGAGGGGCGTTCTAGGTTACCAAAGTGACAATGTCCACGCTGGCAGTCAGTGGGGTGGCAGGGGATGGGGACAAGGTTTATTGCTTCCCGTGTATTTCGGCCGCCTTTTGTACATACACGATGCACCAACATCTTGCTTACGATATATTTTTACCAACAATTTTTAGGGAACGTTTTAAGCCCTTACTACATAAAATAAGATCGACAACGCATAAACGCCCCGTAAGCGCGGTACTTTAGTTTCTACAGTATGATTATTCGGTAATTGCCGGTTAGTAGCAACAACCAATGTGCTACCCACAGCAAGCCGCTCGAAGACAGTAATGATAGGCAGTTTGTCCTCAGGCTGTCTGTGGCTAAATGAGTAAAAATGACATTTTGATTTCTGCTATTAGGAAAGTGACAAACCGAGCAGACAAAAACGACACAAATGGTCCAAAGGACGGCTACTTAACAAAAGTATTTTTGGTGATGATAAACCAAAGCGGGAGTAGCACTGGAGTCTGCAGGTAACAGAGGAACTATGCGATGCTTCTCAAAGGCATATTTCACAACCACTAGCAAATGCAATAATCGCAACAGAAATAGCCATCTAAATAATTTCGGCATTAATTCATTAATGTTACTTCGGTTCCTCAGAGGATTGGAACATGCATGTTTACATACATACGTTATTAATGGTTCGGCGACTCTGCGGAAGACCCTAGGCCAAGTACACTTCTATTAATTTTTTAAAGATCGAAAACAACTGCAGGTCTGTCTGCACTCCGGCTTTCTTCGGACCCACAAAAAATGAATTCCAGATATGTCATCGATCCGATTAAACAATTTTTAAACGATATCCATCTGCCTCCAAGGTCCATTTGCAGAAGCCATTCTGGTGAAATTCCGTCCGTCATTGCCGACGATGTCCACCTTGTGTCCCATAACAGAGTAGAAGCAGGCACTGTGACTTGCGCGTGAATTAGTTTGTAGTGGGAGCAGAATTTTTCGGCATATAAGGCACTCCCTTATCCTTCCTCCTGGGTCTGGCGTCAAGACAAAGTCACAAAGACCGGAGGTGGAAGAAAGTGCAGACGGCCGGAGCCACCCCTTGGCGAGCCGCCAAATCCCGCTCTAATCGCACTAGGTGGGAGTGCCATAAAAGCTACATTAAAAATGAGTAAGTGCATCCTGACTCTCAGACCTCGAGTCGGCCACGCAACACGAACACGAACACACACACACACACACACACACACACACACACACACGACAGTTCGACCGTCGATTTCGACGATGTCCACCGTGTGCCCCACAGCAGGTGGGAGCAGGGACGGTGACTTGCGCAGGGGTTTATAGTGCGGGTAGACTTGCGCTGCATCTACCT